TTTGAGTATTGTGTTGCAGCCAAAAAATGTTTTCCAAACCATGCAGTCAAACTGTTCAATGAAAATCTAGTAAGATAAGTCAAGACTTTTTTTAAGTGCAAGATCAAGGCACAGAGGACCACCCAATCATACCTTTGAAGCAAAACACTGGTAAGGGTCTCCACCTGTGTGCCAGAATGTGCCAGGGTTAGCTGGAGGAATGGATGGTTAAAATGGTGATGCTGGTCAAGGGGTACCTAAGGGAACCAACCACCTGCCTCCTGTCACTTGTCCTGAGCCATCCAAGCAGAACTCGTGGTGACTGAAATCAATCTGGGGGGATACCTGGCTCCCTAGATGCCCAATTAGTGTCGCCTTCTTCTCCCTGGGATGACTGGGTTCAGAAAGCAGAAAATCTAAAAAGAGAAAGTCAAAGCATCAAGAGCTGCCAGGCCATACCATTTTCTTAAGCCTTGGGGGTTCCCAGGTGGTGCATCAGTACAGAACCCTCCTATCAATGCAGGAGACTCAAGAGATGCAGGTTTGATCCTTGGGTTTGGAAGATCCTGTGGAGGAAGAACTGGCAACCCACTCTAGTATTCTTGCCTGGAGAATTCCATGGACAGAGGAGCCTGGCAGGCTATATAGTCCATGGGGTCACAAAGAGTGGGACATGACTGAGCACACATACTTAAGCCTTAAGCCCTCACTTAACAGATTATACCCTCTAGGGTATTGAGTGGCTTATTAGTGGCTTGAAGAAGTTAAGAAAATGAAAAATTTCCTTCCTATTTCAAGTCAGATTAGGATTTTTAAGAAGGCCAGCTGATTAACTACAACAGCAGCAGAGAGCTGTCTTGATAGATCGCAGAAGTCACCAGCGTTTCATTTTTGCCCAAGAAATTAAACTGTCAAAGTGGCTGTGTTGTGTATGTGGCTTGAGGTGGTCATGCTGTTTATGCACACATCCCAACAAAGACTAAAAGGAAGGTATGAAAGCAGGAGACGGGAAATCAAGTCAAGTGATTTCTTTAGCTTCTACCTAATTAATGAATACAGTTGTATGACCAGTTGTAGCTCTGATCCCTCAGCAAACACAAGTAACATTTTGATGGTTAAAAAAATATCTAGAAAGCTATTTCCACATATTGTTCGTGGAAGCAATCAGCTGGCATTTTAAGGATGTGTCCCAAGCCTGATAATACTCTCATCAACTGAAAGCAAATGCAAAAACATAATTTATATAAAAGCGGAAGAGAAATCCCTAAGTCCCGCTCCCATTTTCCCCTTTCCAGTGCTAGAATGGCACTGCTATTATCCTCAGAAAAATGCAACTCTTCCAGAATCTTACTTTTAGCAGAAGTCTCTCTTAAATCATATTTTTTTTCTGCATTAATTAGGTAGCAAGGATTTCTATGGATTTCTCAGCCAACATCCTCAGAAGTGAGTTTACTTTATTGTATTAATTTATAAGGTTTTCTGTGCTTAATCAGTTTCACTAGCTAAAGTGCCCCCCACCCCATCTCTTAGTTTCAGTTTGGGGTTGGATTTTGTTCATGTTGTCCTGCTCAATCAAGAGAAATAAACATACGCTGTTTAAAGATTTTTGAGGTTGGTTGTCAGGGAAACCTGATGAAAACCTATGTGTGGATTAAGGCAAATTATGACCACCAGCGAAAAGTCAATTTAGAGAGCAAGATTTCTACATGTGGGTTAAGAAATCAGTTTCTGCAGATCAAGAAAATAGACTCATACTATATGAATCAAATACATCGTAAATAAACCAGTCTGTTGCTGCAGAAAAACAACAACAACATCTAAATGCATTTCTAAATGAAGTCGTAGCTTCATAAGACAAACCTCACCACAGTTAAGCATGTACTGGGTTGGCCAAAAAGTCTGTTCAGATTGTTCCGTAACATGATATGGGAAAACCCAAATGAGCTTCTTGGTTAGCCCATTACATTACCATCATGTGACCCACTATTGATATTTATTTCAGTTATTCTATGAAACTTATAAGTGTATTTGTATCTTCTGCAGGGCATTTAGTTTAGTGGAACAACAATGCTGGTATATACTTCTATAAAGATTTAGTTATTTTTTTGGCAGTTCAGTTTTCAGTCTTTACTATAGGTTTTTCCTAAACATGTCTTAGAGTGGTTGCTTTCCAACATGTTTTTGGCTACAGTGCTAACCAAATTTTTTTTTCTATTTTGGGGTTACCAAAAGAATCTATTATTCAATAATGGTATCCCCATCTACTAAAGATTAAAGTTACAGATTTTCTTCTAGTATTCAATGAGACAGGCTAGTGATAATGTTTTCTATTTTACACAAGGGGAAATAAATGATATTTTCTGTTTTACTACAGAACTCTTAATGTTAACTGGAGCCAAAGCAGGAGATAATAGTCCTGGACCACTGTTTCTGCTTCTCTTCTCTGATGAGTTCAGAAGTGACAACCACAGCTTCTAAACATTGCTGTTTAATTTAAGCAATGTGTGTCTCTTCTGTGGGGAGAAGAAAGACTTGCTGACAGTATATCATTTTTTCATTATAGTATGGAGAATAATTATAGATTGCTCCATACATTTAGAAACTAGTCTATGTGGCATAAAAAAGAATTAAGACAATGCAAAATTATGTTTTTAAATTTCAAAATCAATTAAAAAAAGAATGTGACACATAGGACCTTTCTAGGGTTCAGTGCATTAAACATGTAAAGTGTATTAAAATGTGGAAACCATATACCTTTCATTACAGCATTCTACAGCTGTCATTTATTTCATTTTGGTATAAAAGTAATTATTGTTCTGAGCATAATATTAATAGTACACATTTCCTTTACCCAGAACTAGCACTCTAATTACAATCTACTTCAGTTCAGATTAATCATGCCAAGACGGCAATTCCATTACACCAAGAGTAAAATTTAATAATCTAATATATAGCTATAGTTCCAATGGTTAAAATTATGGGTTTAACTACTTTAGGGATTTGTTAGGATTAAAGTTAAGCATAATGCATCTTAATCAGAAGTTTAGTGGAAAACACTCATTACAAAATATGGATATATAATGTTGTGGTCTATGTAATGCTTTTGCAGAAGCATTAAAGTTTAGTTACAGCTTTCATTTGAGAAGTATCTGGTAATGGGAAATGTGTCTAATTATTGGTATAAGATGTTTTGATCTAATTTAAACTTTGCCATATTATTTAACATTGGTCATAATGCAATATTACATACAGAATTATGCTTCAGACCACATGACAGAATATAATGTACAGGAGAGCAGAGTTTAGTTAGGTAAAATAAAACCTAACTGGCTTTAAATGTATATTAACCTAAGAATACATATAAGGAGTAACTAGCTCCAATTATACGGAATCTTTCTGTTTCAAATAGGACCTTAGTGGATTCAAGAGTTAATATCCCTCTAAAATGAACTGCTTCCTTCCTCTCCAGGAAAGGAAGGCCTGTCAAGCCAGGTACTGGCAGGAGAGAAACAAAAAGTTTTAAGCCTTTATATAGTCACATAAAAGTAGCACTGTAATGTTTAACCACTGAGTTTCCTTCAAAGTTCTGTAGTGGTAAGTTGATTTTTCTTAAAACCTTTCCTCAAAGAAGGAGAAAAAAAAATGCTACAGCAACTTTATAACACAGAAATAACCTATCTTTTGCTTCTTATCTTTTAAGAAATTTGTTTGCTCATATATAAACCATTTTTCTGTGAAACAAGTGACTGACTACCATTTCTTCACAAATGAACTTTGGTCATTGTACCAATTTGTATTTTGGGTTTCTTTTTCAATCTCTTGGTGTTTAGGGTGTGATTCAGAACACAATTGTGTTCTGGCAAACAATATCAGATTTTGATTCAAACAGGATGACTCAGAGGAGAGCCTAAATTGCTATTAAACATATAGATTACAATGTTAATTTATGTATTTAGTAAAATTTAGTAAAGCCTACTAAATGCAAAGAGCCAACTCTTTGGAAAAGACCTTGATGCTGGGAAAGATTGAAGGCAAGAATAGAAGCGGGTAACAGAGGATGAGATGGTTGGTTGGCATCATTGACTTAATGGACATGAGTTTGAGCAAACTCAGGGAGACAGTGAAGGATAGGGAAGCCTTGCAAGCTGAAATTCATGGGGTTGCAGAGTCAGACATGACTTAGCAACTGAACAACAAGAACTACATTTGGAAACCATTTTGCATCCTGAACGCTATACTGTGAGCTCTTGGAAGCTCACATAATGTGTCTTATGTACTAATGCATAGTACTTAGTCTAGTGCTTGTATTAAATAAACTAGATAATCCTCAATTGGAGAAATTGCTTTGGGCATAGATGAAATTCATCAATAAAGTGCTTTCCTGAATTTTTAAAAATGATGTAACAGAGAGGCCTATCAGTGTATTCTAGTAGAATCAGTATGCAGTTATTGATCGATCAATCAGGAATCTGTTTTCTCTTGTGAAGTATCTAGTGGTCTTATAGATTTCACGGCCTTGATCAAACTGAGCAGTAGGGGAGAGACCTGGTATCCATCTACTACCCATCCAGCAAGAAAGGGGAAAGAAAAGCTAATGAGTTTCCTTTGCTTTCAGATATATTTCACTTCCCCTTTCATTTTTGTGAGTGGCTATACTGCAAAGCTGGGAGATAAGGAGTACAAAAAGGTGCCTAAGGCTTTCACAGCAAATCTATGCTACATCATCAGATGCAGCCTGGACTTTCTTACCTTCAGCCTCTTGGCAAGAGAAAAGAGAAGGTCAGATTTTGGAGAAGAGGGTAGGCACTACATTTTCATTTTCATAACTCAAAAGATTTAGAGAACACTCATGTTTTGAGAAATGCCTTGATAAATCTCCAAGCTGACAGCCCCAAAGCCTCAACTCTACTCTTGGTGAGAGGAGTACACTTAGTTCAGAACCTCTGAAAGCCTGGGTGAGATACCTCTTTCTTTAAACCAACCAGCATCCAAAGCCAAACAACTCGTGGTTGGAAACTTACGAGGGCTCCTCTGACACAGCGGCTCCTTCCTCGAATTCCTGGGCTTGTTTGTACCATGGCAGCTTGGCTTCTACTGGAAGTTTTTCTGAGAATTCAGTGCATAGAGACAAAAAAGAAGAGGTCAGAGCCAATTTAGGATTTCAAGGAAATGCGATTTTCTCCTCCTCCGTTCTCAGTTTTGTACTACCTTAAAGTTATGATGTTGATAACTGTAAATAATAGGTTTTCAGGATAATTTCTGTGTATGAGTGCCCTTTATTATGTTGAAGAGTGAACTCTTTTTATTATGAAAGTTATAACTTTAGGAGCTCAATATGTCTGTAAAGAATCATCAAAGTATCTTTTCACTATTTCCTCTTGAAAAGATAGAGCACTATTTACCTTTTAAAACAAAACACAGTGGAATATATTGTGATATTTTCATAAATTCTAACTTGTTTTTCTTTTGCTTTTTGGCTAAGTGTGATCTATGCCATAATGTAAAAAACAAACAAAACTGCCACTCTGAAATTCTCAAAATGTTGCTTTAGACACCTGACTCATGCAATATCCACCAGAGGTTCACTGACAATTGGAATATGAGGAACTTGGGGTCCACAAACCATAATTTGGCTTGCTTTACACATTTATCTAGCTTTGGTCAAACAATTCAAAATAAGCTTCCTAACAACTTCCTGGAAAAAAAAAACAACACAACAACTGTGGTGGAGAAAAAGAAAGAGGGAGGTTATAACTGCTCCTACATAAGTAACTGCCAAGATTTGCACTTTGACATATTTATTAGGGTCATTTATAGGCATATTGCCTTTATAGTATGAGCCAGTGAAGCTCTATCACCATTTTATAACATATAATTATAAAGATGAAAGAAATATGCCTATATATGCATACACCATAGAATTATATGACATTTTAATGATGTTTAGAGAGCCAGACTCACTACCTAGTTGTGAAAATACAGATTTTACTCCCGACAGTTACCCACAAACTGCTTTTCTTTCTCTGAAGTGGCTGGGTAAAGACGAATAAATAAAAAATGCATTATTTTAACCTGGGGCATCACTTTTTATCCTCTGTGTGCAACAACCATTTAGAAAACAAAGCCAGTGAGAAATGTAAAACTCCCCAAGTAAAAAGGATTTGCTAACATTTTGAACCTGGCAAAATGGTTCCAAATATACATGCATAGTTTTATAACGAGCCCACCTCTCCAAGATAAAGGAACTCAGTCAATGAAGGTGTCTATGACCGCTTGAGCCATCCCTGTTTTTCAATAATGAGCATTCGGCTTAGCATGAATAGCAGGCTTGTAATATTTTACTGTCTTTTTGAATTGACTCTGCCAATTGAATTGACTTTGAATTGAATTGAATCAGTAGCCACTGATCCTCCTATATTTGAGGAAGCTAATGATACTCAAGAGCTGAAGATAGTATTCTTGGAAAACTTACAATAGGCAAGGCAGTGGGTTGTAGACATCAATAAGTTTATTCCAATTTTCCTTTCAAATTATGATTCTGGAATCCAGTTTCATATTAATTTTTAATTTTAAAGCTTTCAATATAAAAAGCAACAACTTTTTGTTGTTGTTTTATTAGTTTGAAGTATGGTATATTTCATGTTTAGCAAAGAAGACAGTTTGGATTCACTGCTTTTTTTTTTTTAAACTGAGGTGTAGTTAATTTACAATGTTGTATCAGTTTTAAGTATATAGCAAGGTGATTCAATGATATACATACATATATATGTATATATATACACACATTTATTGATTAATTGATTTAAGCCCTCTTCCTTTTTTACTTGATGAATCTTAAACTGCCTTGTTTTTAATAGCAAGCAATGTGAATAGTAAACCACACATATATTTCTATACTATCTTTATAATATCTTGCTTCAAGTAGATCTGATTTTTTTTTTTTTTTCAGCAGCAATCTTCCATTAATTTTCTTACTCAGGAGAGAATTACATCCATATATAGTGCCTAAAAACAATTTGCAAGCAAAACTGTTGGAAAGACTTTTAGAAACAGTTAAGTCCATTTAGTAGAGTCTAAGTTATGAAGAATAGTTATAAAGAACACTTGGAATACTTAAAAATATTCCAAGGAATTGAAAGCAGCAGTGAATATACACGACCATGACAAGATTGGTTACAGAGCCCCTGTCAAGTTACCTTTGGGTTTATAGCAGGGAGTGGGTATGATGCATTCCTCTTTTATGTGGGGCTTGGTTTTGGGGCTACAGCCTCCAGTGTGCATTTCCCGATGATCGATGCAGAGGACCACACGGTACCTGAGGCCCTGGCCACACGTCACTGTGCACTGGAAGGAGAATGCAAGAAAGGAGACTCATAGGCAAAGCCTTGCTTACTGCTCCTCATTTCCCACCTGAGACTCTTTAAAGGGCTGCTTTTACAGAAGGACTCCTGGTGGCTTTATATCACTTCTTACTAGTCATGGGATCTTTGTTCTGTTTGGCTATTTCGGGGTGAAGGCATCTGAACATTAAATCATTTGCAGTTTCTTCACTTTGGATTAGCCAGTTAGCCATTCTTAAGCATACACTGTGTGCAAAGTCCCAAACCAAGCAGCAAAGAGAAGGAGAAAAGAAACGATAGAGTGTGCCTGATTTTGATTACCAAGACTGCATGTTAATTTTATTCAGTCACTTTGCTAATGACTGTTAGGTCCAAAGTATGAAAAATGCCAGCTCCCATGTGGACATTAAATTTTTTTAACTTTCATCATAGCTAATTTATATTGCAGCATGGCTGATCCAACTGATAACAGTGGCATGGAAAAAATGCTGAAAGGAACTAATTCAGGGCCAGATGTAGACAGCACCTTCAGTGGTTCCACATGCCTGGGAGCAAGTCTGATAGAAAGAGACATCACAGCTCTAATCTGCAGCCACAAAGCCACAAGGCCATGTGAGTAACCAGTGGCCATCTCTGTGGTTGAGGACACATCTTTCCATCTCCTTTGCCACTTCACACCTTTTGGCACTAGAATCCAGGAGCCCCACCCCCACCCCAATTAATGTTTTATGTTTAAGCTGCTGCAGTGTCTTTACTAATGTCTAGACTATTTTCATTTTAGTTAATCCTGCTTCACCTCCATTCTAACTACATTGCCATTTTCATCTTTTTTTCCCAATGAATAATAGACATAGTTTTCATCTTAATCCACTGAAGACACTTTTTTGGACATAGACAAAGTATAACAAACAAAAAATGAAATCAAACTTTTGGTCTGCTGGGCTCAACCATCAGAACAGCTTACATAGCTTCAGGCTCATTCAGCCTCAGCTACTCATGGCAGATACTTGCCTCTCCTTGTTACTTAAGAGAGCATTATGGGGAGTGATAGTGGCTTCTTGAAGTCACTTGAAGAAAAAGATATGTGTGTATGTATGTATGGCATGCTAAATATACATATACATACATATGTATATAATATATATTTATTTTTTCCTACTCATTTACTTTTGGCTGTACTTGATTTGGGGTAAGCCTACTCCAGGGTCTACACAGGTGGGCATCTAGGCCCCTCAGATGGAGAAATGGGAAGCTGGACAGAGTGGCCGGTGGGGTGATGATGCGGAGAGGGAAGAATGGACTTACTCTCCTAATGAACAAAGAAAGAGGGCGCAGTTACCGGAGACCACTCCTGTGCCAGCCATTTAGGGCAGTCAAAAATGTTGCAGGGCTGCACGGTGGGCATCTTAGGGGTGTACATGCATTTCCACTCTTCCGCTGAGCTGACATGCCCCTGGATGTCCTCCTCCACACAGGAAACTGCCCGGCTCTGGATGCCCCCCCCGCATGAGGAGGAGCACGCGGTCCACGGGGTGGCCTCCCACCTACAGAAGCAAGGGGAGTCATCAGGCCAGAGCCACACACTGCCCACCTCCTCTGTGAGCTTTCCCACCACTCCCGCCCCAGTGCCCATCAGGGCAATCGGCTTCCGAGAGGCTGAGCTCCAGAGAACCGAAAGCCAGCGACTGCCCAAGGTCTGCTGAGTCAGAGAGGATTCAGTGCTGGCAAACGTGCTCTGTTAACCTTGAAGCTCTACACAAACGTAAGAAATTACTCTGAGAACTGTGTACAAGCCTATCTGTGGGGTCCATCACCTACTCAAAGGAGGGCTGTTCAGTACTTTTCCTTATAGTTTCAATATATATTCTCTCTGTATGTATATTTGTGTGGGTGTATGTGTATATATGTATACTATTTATATTATTTTATATTTTATAAATATATATATTTGCATCTATCCAACATCTATGTATCTAAATATCTATCTTAAGACTAAAATTGGTTAATCAGTTAACTCTAATAATTTGTACCTGGGCTAATACTTTTCACTTTCAGGGCAATACTTCATTACTTAGCTTCTAGATACTTTTACATGAGGAGCTCATGAAAGATCAAGGTCAACTAAACACGCTTTCTGCCTTGCTTCTATGGTCATCAACTTTGGGACTGCATGGATTCAGTATGATTCTGATGTTCAAACTGTATCATCATTAAGAAGCCAGTGTCAATATAGGTGTCACCTACATGTTCCCTAGTTGCCGGGGTGAGGTGCAGACAGTTAGCACTCCTCCAATAAAGAACTCCTGGAACAGTGAAAAGTTTGGCTTTGGTTCAAAAGCTCATGGCATTGGAATCTACTTATACAGTAAAGTAAGGGGAAAAATAACAATGTTGTCAACAGCATTTAAGAGAATTTCACTGATTTTTCAATTCTCTCCACAGTTTGATGCATTTGAGTGCTCACCATTACACTATGGAACCACCAGTTTGATGCATTTGAGACTGGAGGCAGAGAGATATCTTTGCCCGATTCTTCTTGGAGGTTTAGAGAATGTCAAATTTGTAAGCACAGAAACACAGCGGCTAGTTTTTCTTTCTTGCCTATCTAGTCTGCTTGTTTATGAGGACTGCTAAGGAACTCTAAGAATTTCTCTTAGAATTATGAGAGATACCATTTTAATGGGAGAGAAACAAAAATGTCACCAAGTTGATCTACTTGAATAGCTAAATCTAAAAACACTGCACAGGCATGCCGTGGAGATGTGAACCATCCTCTACATGGGACTTCACGTGCATTGTGAGCCTGATTTCTCTTTTGCATGAGCCTGGATAACATGTGTTTCCCACTTACTCCACAATTCTTTGTACTGTTCAAGTCTAGGCAACAACTCTTATCTCCACTGCCAACAGCCCAAACATGCTGCCAAATACAATATTTTCCTCTGCATATTTCCCCAGGAGGCATAGAAGAAAATGTTATTATGGGGAAACTGAGGCCCTCTGGTTAGTCCTTTGGAGAATCTCTGTTCCCTTTCAAGAGAAGGAAGCAGCTCTGTAGAGTTTCTCTTCCAAAAGGGTGAGACCAATTCTCATTTGTCTCCATGTAAATCTCTGGAGAGCTGGAAGTGGGTAACAGGTCTGATTCAGACTAAAATTGAGCTAAATGTATAAGCACCAATTCACATTAGACTCGATTTGACAGTGAACTGGGAATTTGCTTTTGAATGGACATTTAATCTCTTAAAACATTAAGATGCCATAAAAAGAGCACATTTCCTAATTGGTACTCTAACATCCCTAAAGTTGACCCTTCTGAAGAGAGAGTGATTAATTTCTGTCTCAACACTTGGACCTGATCCATGGTGTAATTTCATAAACAGTAATAAGTATCCTTTTCATTGTCAGTGATCATGGAGAGACAAATGATGTGAATATTATTCCAGGTATTTATAGTATGGTTCCAGGATTAACTATAGTTCTATATGTGAAAAACTATAATGTGAATCCTTGCATAATAATAGGATTATGTGGAATTTCAAAGCAAAACATCTTTGTTCTTTAAAGAAAGTATAACAAAAGCTCAGAGAGGACATCAGTTAGGATATCTCAAAACAGGGACCAGGTAAGGATTTGGAAAAATATATATATATCCAAGAATCTTGCTCTAGAAGAATAACAGATGAGGTCGTATATTTTAACTCCTTTGGCTTTTAATTTTTAAAGTCCATTGTGTATTTAGTTTAAGAAATTCTCAAAATTAATGATTATGTGGAAAAATTGCAAATATTAATTATAAATTAAAGATAATTAATCAGACTGTGTTCTTAAATTATATTCAGATATGCATTATAGTCAAAGACTGAAAGCAAGAAAAAACAATCTAAAAATTCACTCACTGTGTTTTGTATCTATACTTGTGGTCTTAAACACATTTAAATAATTTCAGTAAGCAAAGTCTTGATCAGTAAGTAGCTGCCCCCTGAGAAACATTCTAAGTCTTTATTCTTCTTAAGAAAGAAGAATATCCATGGAAATATTCATAGAAATAATTTCCATTTACTAAGGTTTTATCAGTAAAGCAGAATATCTAACTTCAGAATTAATTTAGTAACAGAAGTGCATGGGCTAAGAAATATAGTCTGTTTAATCGTCTAGCTGTCTTTGACCATTGTGATGCACGGACAGGCCACAGTGTGCATAAGACGGAGTGCAAACAAACATCAAGCAGGTTCATCTCAATCTGTCATTGAGAATACCAATCTTCAGGCACTCGGGGGACATTCGAATATATATGAAATCAAGTTTAACCTAGGACAGGCATTAGGTACACCAGAGAAATATAAACAGGAGAGATCATAGACATGAAAGAAATTGAGGAGCACCATTACAGGACAAACATCAACTTGATGTTCTTACCCCTGACACCCAACTATGCCTTTATCTCAAATCACATGGCCTTTGCACAGCCAGATACATATGTCCTATGAATACTTACTTTACAGATACGGGGGTTGAAATTAAATCTTGGTTCAGTTAAATTGATATTTCTCTATTTTCATTCCTTTTTTTTTTTTCATGTTTGGTTCTGGATCAAACCAGCAAAAGGATACAACAGTAGTATTCTAAAGTCATTTATTGTCTTTATCAATATAGGCATAGGAAAAAGGGAGGGAGCTGATGAATGAAGTAACTCCTTAGTGAAAAACACTTTAAAAAAATCCCTAAATAATTATATATAGCATTAACCAAGTGCCCCCTTTCTTTATGCTACCATTAAAATGGTGAAAAGTAAGTCTCACGCCAGTCTACTTTTTTAAGTAGAGCCTGGATAACCCTTGCCTTGGTTTATATGTGTGTGCATGTGTGCGCATGTTGCTGCTTAGTCGCTCAGTCATGTCTGACTCTTTGTGACCCTATGAACTGTAGCCCGCCAGGCTCCTCTGTCCATGGGATTCTCTAAGCAAGAATACTGGAGTGGTTGCCATGCCCTTCTTTAGAGGATCTTCTTGATCCAGGGATCAAACCCCAGTCTCTTGCATTGCAGGCAGAATCTTTATTGCTGAGCCACCAGGGAAGCCCACGTACATGTGTGTGTGTGTGTACATATATGTATGTATGTATACACATGTTGGAATGCATCTGCAGTGAGTGAGGGAAAGTTGCTCAGTTGTGTCAGACTCCTTGTGACCCCATGGACTATACAGTCCATGGAATTCTCCAGGCCAGAATACTGGAGTGGGTAGACTTTCCCTTCTCCAGAGGACCTTCCTGAACCAGGAATCGAACCAGGGTCTCCTGCATTGCAGGCAGATTCTTTATCAACTGAGCTATGAGGGAAGCATCTGCAGTAAATACACATTCATGCCTATTTGTGTAAATATATGTGTTTACACATGTGTGCTGAGGGGATGTGAAGAGTGGGAGAATGAAGCATCACTGGGCAGCTGGACTAAAAAATCTCCAGGTCCCCTTTTTGTCCTTCAATTCAAAGTATTTGAAGATTTTCAATCAAACTGCTTTATTTTGCAGTTCCAAATACAATTACTTTGGGGGCTTTGCTTAGTTTGAGATGGAGCAAACCACCATGGATTATTTCCAACTATTTGTGATCTGATTTAAACCTTGGGTTCTAAACAGCAACGGACTCTCTGAAGTCCCAATGAGTGAGGACAACAGAGCAAAGGTCTTGCTTAGCACAGAGGTGGCTTCAAACCCGTCTAATTTCTGCTCTCTGGGGCGCTGTTTCTAAGGTGGCAGGCAATATGCTCAGTAGCTAGCATGTTTTTCAGCTTCTCCAGTTTTCTTATAAATATATTAATAAAGAGAACAAGTTCTTTGAAAAGTTTCTCAGTCACTTTAACGATATTTTCTAGTTTTAGAAAATACTGTGCTTTAAAAAAGCAGTGTAGTGCATGGAATTTTCTGTTTTGGAAAATAACAAAACTCCCCTCCCCATCAAATGTTATGAACAATAAGGATATGAAAAAACTGCCTTTTTGTATTTAATTATAATTTCTTTGGAACAGAAAGAAGGATATTCAAAGCCCCTGTGCAGAGTAATACCACATCTGGAATTTCACATTTGCGGTATTGGGATAATAATTCAGGCAGTGTTTGTTTAACAGTTAGCAACAGTGCTTTAATGACTAGGGTCCTATTGCAGAGGAAACACAGAAAAGGACAAAGGGAGTGAAAGAAAGACATAACATAAACCCATACACTGTATCTAATCAGAGTGAATTACTGTGTCCACTGCAATGTAATCCAATCCTATCTTAAAACGGTTTTTGAATGACAAGCTTACAGTCTGAGCAGACCAGTGTTATTCAAAAGCAAAGTTCAGGAGGGATTGCAAAATATACTATCTACCATCTTATTTTTTTTACAGAAAAACACAAAATCTATTATATATAAGAAGCAGAAGACTGAGTTACTAATTCTAGCATCAGGATGATTGATTTACGTACCGAGGAAGGGGATGGTAGATGTCATAGGGCATGATCTGCTTGTATCCGTCACTGTTAGGAACAATAATGCCAACCCTCTGAGTAGAAGGTACACACAATAAAATAAACACTAAATGATTACATTAAACAATTTTTTAGACAAATGCAAAATAACATTAATAAATTGTCTCTAAAAAAACAACACTAAAACAGTTCAATATCTTTATGCTAGCATCCATTTGAGGATGGGGCAAGTTCTTTTGACAGGGCACCATTTACTATAATTAGTTCTCTGATCCAAGCAGGAAATACCAGGGGAAAGGGTGGTGGCAAGAAAACTTGGCACCTCATCATTAACTATGACACAATAAGCTTGTAAATGTTCTTTAATCCCCCCAATTATACATCCTATGAGGTCATTATGATCATCATTATTAATGTTACTTCCAGATGCTCACCAAGCAATTTTATAGTTACTGTCTTGCTCCTGATGAAAGAGAGAGCTATATGTAAGAGTATGTACCTGGGGACTGACAATACTATGTAATATGCATTAGCAAATAGGTAATGCACTTTTGGCAGATCTAAGGATCTGAGTAAAATCTGGAGAGCAGCCACTTGGTTATATTAAAAAGGGAAGGGGAACGAGTGAACACAGTAGGCAACTATCAACAAAAGCACATTCCCTACCAAAACAAAGATAGGGCAGTTAAAATGAGATAATAAAGATGAAACATCTTTTTGGTGGTCTATAAAATGTGATATGGTGTTAACTGGTGGTGGTTGTAATTGTTTTGACTGTTGTTACTATATCTGGTGCCCCGGGAAACCTGTGGGATTTAGAGATAAAGACTAAAGGAGCCAGAAGAAATGATATTTTACGCTATATGGCTAATGGATTCACAAGATATGATATTATAGGCTATGTGGGAGTCCTCAGAGGCCTTTAGGACTCTAATAAAGTACAGGAACCTATCTCACTGATTTCAAGTAAAGCCTCCAATTGACAAGACTTTCTTCTTGTGGAGCCACCTAACTTGTGGGAGATTTATGACTCGTGAATCTCAGATAGAAGGGCTAGTACAACAGACTCTCTATCAAGAGTGGGAGACTGAGCTCAGTCCGTGGATGTCAAGTATTTGCTGGGGCAAAGCATGGTAGGTCGTGAGCACTTATTTTACAACTGACAAATGATAGCAACTTCCTCTTCTGAAAACTGAAGGAACTCATGTATTCTAATCTGGGATGAATGCTGCTGCTGCTGCTAAGTCGCTTCAGTTGTGTCCGACTCTGTGCGACCCCACAGAGAGCAGCCCACCAGGCTCCTCCGTCCCTGGGATTCTCCAGGCAAGAATACTGGAGTGGATTGCCATTTCCTTCTCCAAGGCATGCATGCATGCTAAGTTGCTTCAGTTGTGTCTGACTCTGTGCGACCCTATGGACTGCAGCCCACCAGACTCCTCTGTCCACAGGATTCTCTAGGCAAGAATACTGGAGTGGATTGCAATTTCCTTCTCCAATCTGGTATGAATGGGTGAGTATATATTTATATACCCATCTTCAGTAAAATTTTTATGTAAAAATGAACACATTAAGACTCGCTTTGTTGTTTTTTTTTTAAGACTCACTTTGATCTTATCCTCTGATACAGAATGATATAGCATGTGATTTTAATATGGCTAGCAAACCTAAGCTTTTGGGTAGAAACAGTGAGCTAGGTATATTATGGAACAGAAAGAAAAAAAAATAGTACTGGCTGGACATCATGACACATAAGGAGGAAAGAGGGAGTAAAAAAAGGGCAGTTCCTGGAGAAATTACTAAAAGGTAAGGGAAAATTAAGTTTGAGAGAAAATGGGAAACAAATCTTTGAATGTAGATTTCTCAAGAAGTACAAACATTGGAGAACTAATTTAGTTATCTCACATGACTGAGTTGTCTTTAGTTGATCTGAATGACTAAAGGTATTCACTTGTATGATTAAATTTTCATGGTACATCTATGTGCACTACCCTTCAGTAACAATGTTCATGAAAATGAATGATGCCTTTTGAGGAAGCTCAAAATCCCATGACTCTTAACGAACAAAAGAATGGGATGAATATTAACATTAAACTTTTCTCCATGTTTTTCCAAGATACAGAACATCCTATTCATTTTGGTCTTATTTTGACAAGAAATCAGATGTGAAAGGTAAATCCTGTCTTTTGTTAGGATCATGTGATCACTTCCCAGTAATTCTGCCTAATCATTAAGGAAAATCTTTTTCTAAAAGAACTGTTTTTAATAGAATTCCAACTTCCAAAGTTCTTCTAATAACCTAGGTCTGATAATAGATAATTAAGGACTACATAGAACTGACTTTGCAGTTATATTTTTGCTAACCCTAGTATCTCTTGTCATGCCTATATCCAGATCTAAATGTAGAAATGTATATGGCAGCCTTCTTTCCTGGAAAGATTTATAGTTATGATTTGTCATTCTGAATATTAGAATGAACTGTTACAGATCTCTGCCAACTGATTTATCAGCTGATGAGATTTAAAATGGAAGTAGTAATATTGAAGGAGACAGGCTAGAAGAAAAGAAGGGGAAAAAAGAGGGAGTTATAGAATTCAAGATGTTGGGCTTCACATTGGACTGATTCAGAAATTATGTTTCTGTTTGAACAAGAAGCTTTAAATCTAGATTCAGCAAAACTATAGCTATATTTGTCTTTCTATGGCATAGGTCATGGTGAAGACTCATAAAATGACTCCATGGCACCTGTGAAAACAGAAAGATATCAAAACAATGGTGCTCTGTCCAGTCCTGTTGATGCATATTCATGTGCATGGGCTCTGCTCTCTCTTGGGGTTTATGCCATGGGCCTGGCCTTTCACCACACTGTCACAGAGGGCCAGGCGGTGCTGCCTAAACTCAACTTTCTATTGCTTACTCTTAAGGCACTTTATCTTTTTCTTGGACAAAGTGTACCTACTGAAGAATGATGAAAAAGAACGTCATTTAGGGACTTTAAGAAGTTCTTCCTTCCATGCTTAGGTCTTCTTTGCATGTGCATGTGTGTGCATGCATATATATGTATGTATTCAGACATGTGAATATATGAGGGGGTGGGGAAGGAGGCAAAAATAATTTTTTAAAAAATGATCACAAGGGAAAATACAATGAACAGTTGGTTTTGGGGTAAAACCATTCATTCTCCATTGCCTTCACTATTCTGACTGCTCATGTACTTTCTATGTAGGACAGTGACCTGATTCCATCTAAAGTCCCCCAAATCAGGGGTTGTGATAGGAAGAGAAGATTAGGATGAAGAAGGGGTCACCATGAACTCATGTGGTATAAGTAGAAGAAAGACTTGCACATCATCCTCTCTTAGCTTGTGTCCAATGACACTAGAATGCTTCCTGTTACGACAAATTCATAGAAAGAAATAGTATGCAGTATATAACATGAAGCATTTTCAACCAATTTTTAATGACATGGAAAATGTTCAAATGCAATGTCAACTGAAAAAATCCAGTACAGAATAGAATAGACAATATAATCCACAATACAAAGAAAACTCATGCATATATTGTCTATATAATAATTTTTGTAAAGTCTATATATATCTGTATGTATGTGTGTACAAATATATTAGAAAAGGACTCAAAACAGTTGTTAGTTCCTGGTGTTTGGATTAAGAGTGTTTTCTTCCCTTTTTTCCTTTTTATGCTTCTCTATTTTCAGGAATTAGAACACTTAAGTAAAACAAAATTAAACTCTGAGAAAGCAAAAGACAGAAACATTTGAAAGCATGATATAAATGGATGAAATGAGGCTGTCATCTCAATTCCCACATGTCATTTAAAGATGATTGAGTCTGTGTCCTGAAACCATCTCAGGAGCTATTTTAGAACAATATTCTTGACTTTAAAAATCAAGCCATATTCAGGCTCACACTACTCAGGTGTGAAATTTACTTATTGTGATAAATCTTTCTCTCCAAGAAAAGCCCTAATATAACTATTAATTCCATAAGCATCTAATTTGCCAGGCTCTGGGATCTTCTGGAAATGAATCATAAGGAGTCACTTTCATGGCTTCAACACTCCCTTCCAATGCCTCTCTCAGAACCTCTTGCCTCTCCTCTGGGGTTGCAGAGCCTCATTTCTGACACTCTGACAGCTGGATGCGCTCTCACTTTGTCAAACTCACTGTTTTCAGACAATTCATTATCTTCCCCTGCGAACAGTCTCTTCTCCTGTGATCACTGTTACTGTTCAGAACACTGCCCTTCTCCCATCCACCCTGGCTGGGTACCGTGGGACATCGTTGCTTCCTCTCTTTCCCATGTTCCCTACAGACACTGAGTTCTTCCAGTTGTGATGTCTGCCAAATATATCTCTCTGACATGAATCTAGGCCCCTTTGCATTATCCTCCTAACAGATCTCTGCCTGCAGGCACTGCCTGCTCCAATCCAGCTCACTGTTGTCATAGCAACAGATAATTTATTTTCCAGTGATGTCCATAACACCTGGTGAAATCAAGTGCTACCTGTTCTAAAGCCTGTCCTTATGTTTCCTCTCAACATGTAGCCAGGCAATTCTCTCTTCCTCTTTCAAATACCCATAGCACAAGTTCCCCTCATCACTTCTGTCTACTAACTTTTAACCATGAAAATGTTTTCTTCAGTTTAACACTATGGGACAAAATCCATGTTGGTTCTTTACTCTATCTTTTAACACAGTTCTCTGCACAGAGGCAATTAGTAAATAATCAGCCAATGAAATCATGCCATTGACGTGCATACACAAAAGCAAGCAATACAACTACCATCCTGAATGAAAGAAAGCAAATGAACAAGGTTAAAAAAAACTCCTAAACAAGTTGCACTAAAGATGACACACATCTCTAGTCCCACTCCTTGTTTTTTGCTAGCTCTGCCACCTGTGTGAAGGGCAGACTATTTTAGAGACTGGTTTGGCAGGGGTGATTGGGTGACCTGGGACAGAGGAAGATAGTTGAATGGCAATGGTGTTTCTAAGCTGCTTGGCTAGACTCTACATCTCTTCTGTTGGGCATC